CCGAGAGCGGGGCGGCAGCGGGGGCGGCGGGGCCAGAGGCCTCCGCTCCCCGGCTGAGGGCCCGGTGCCCGCGGGCACTCTGACCTCGTTGCAGAAAGGCCACGCGAGTTCCTGATCCAGGTGCTGGAGAGCGTAAAGGCCGGGAGACGAGCCGAGGGCGAGTACCCGTTCCTCATGGACGAGGCCAACGTGGACGCCATGTTCAGCCTGCTGGATGTCCTAGGCCAGGGCCACATCCGGCCCGCGCAGTACAGGGAAGGTGCGTCCACCTGCACCCCTGCTCACAACAAACTGTTTGCTTGCACAGAATTATTAAAATAGTTTCCAAGTTACCCATCTGTATACTTTAGAATTATCCACACAGCTGCCCACAGGACCTGGAACTTGGGAAAGTTGAATGTTACATGTGGTTGTTTCCTACACAGAAGTTACATGGTATTATGCTACACGTTTACCTTCTGTTAGATCAAGGCACCTTTAAATTTCAATTTGTCTTTCCAAAGACTCACATGAAAAATTCTCTTTTGTTAACTTTAGCTCTTAAAACCTTGGGACTAAGCACTGAGGATTTGGAACTAGATGATGATGTGCTTATCACATTGGATGTATTCAAGGAAGGAATGTAAGTTTAATTGAAATCGTGGTTTTGATTTTATTTTTTGGAGGGTACATATGCATAGAAGATATTTTACTGAGATTTTTTTATTTACAAAACTACATAATTAAAGGACTTGCTAGTTTAAGCTTGACTGTGTCACTTTGCATTGCAAGATTAAAAAAAGGCCAGTGATTGCCTGACTTTCTTGCCATGCTGTAAGGTGAACCAAACTCCATGCCCTCCACCAGCTCAGTTTCAGGATCTTCTCATGGTACCCACCCCTAGGTCAGAGCAAGGGTCATCAGGCAGCCCAGGGATTAAAATATGGATCTAGAAATGTGGAACAGTGAGGTCCTGTTGTCTTTGTCAGGGGTGGTACCACAGCTGGAGATGAAATAGGTTCAGAGTTCAAATAATTCCTCATAGTCAAGGTATGGTTCTAGAAGTGATTTTTTAGTAACTGTTGCAATTGCTGAAAGGTAATGAACTAATAATCTTAATTATCTAACTAGAGATTTTCTTTTTCTGTCTTAGGAAGAAAAAGATGCTGGAGAGCTGGTCTGTGTATTAGTTTGAGCAGTGATCTTCTATATACATATTAAAAACAGGCATCTTCCCCAGTTTTTCTTCTGGTTTGTCAGCTGTGAAGTGTTGATTTTAAGCAATACTCTCTTTTTCTAATCTTCCCCACCCTTCAGAGGAGCAATCAGCTGAAAAGGACAAATGACAACAACGTGTTCATGTCGAGAAGGCACTGAAGAGAGTATCTTTAAGAATTGCTGTTCTTAGTATAATTAGACAGTTAAAAAAAGAAGTAGAGATGTCTTACGCACCTCAAATAGTATTTTGGAGTTTCCTCTTTCAGATTATAGTTTACAGTAAAGAATTGTTACCTGTTGGCTCATTACCACTGAATAAAATCAAGTTTGTTTTTGGGATGGTGCTGGGTTTTGGTTTTCAGGTATTTTTAAGGAAAAAACAACCAGATATGACAAATGTCCACAGGTAAATACCAAGTGGTATTTTCAAATTTAGCACACGCTATGCAATTTACAAGGAGAAACTTAAAAAAAAAAAAAATTAGGAGATTGTTTTTTTCTGTACAAGACTATCTTAATTTGTATGAACAAAACAGTGAAATATTCCTTCTTTCTGCATTGATTATATACATTTTAATACAGAACATCCATTACCTGGATTTTGGAGTTGTGAAACATCTGTGTTTAACTGAAGACCAACCAGTTCATAGGGAACATTAGCCCACATTGTACAAAAATGCAATTACAGTGTAAATACTCCGTGTTCCTTAGAATGATACAGCAAACACTGACATGGTGCACTATTCATTAGAGATGAACACAGTTTTATCTTCCAAATGCAGTGGCAAGGTGGCCATGGAAAATAAGATCTGCACAACAGATCAACACCAAGTCATTTTGAATTGTTTTTTTTTTTTAACTATATAGAATAAGGTGAAAGATTAGATTAAAACATACTCTCAGCATACATAATTGAAATAAGTATTTAAAGATATCTGCTTTGCTTTTGCTTGGAATAAGTAATCTAGACCAAGTTATTAACCATTTCTGAAGAAGTCTTTATTTTCCTGTATTTGGCCAACTAGCTCTCAAACTGAGAAGAATCTCAACATCCCTTTGAGACAGTTTATAAACTCCAAGTTCATTTAGTGCTGCTGTTGCAGACGGCTGGCTTGGCTTTAATGATTCATTTTCTGAAGCTGACTGCAGGACATCCTTCAGAAGCAAGGCCGAGCCAATATTCAGGTTCAGGATAATGCAGGCTTCTTTTATGCTAGAGGAAAAGTTACATGGATTAATGTAAGCAGCACAAATTTAAATGTAACAAAAAACCTTCCATGCTCCATTTTGGTTTAAAAATACTCAGATTTCAGCCCCAATTAGATGAGGATTTTGATGCTAGACTCTTCAGGAGACTGTGGGCTAGGAAAAAAAGACTAACCAGAAAGAAAGTAGCAGCTTCTCATCCATGACAGCAGCTAGACTGCTACACAAGACAATCCTGAGGAAGAACATAGTTTAAAGTAGTCCTTCTAACAATAAAGTTTGTTGTGTTGTAACTGTATCTTTGACTAGCTTATTCAGCCCCAGTTTCAGAGGTTTGTGCTACTTAATATTTCTTCCATAATTTTATCTAGACATCCTGACTGCACAAAATACTCCAAGACATGACAAAGTCTGTTGCTGTCTGAGTACATTCTGCAGAATCAATTTTTCTAGTTGAAAACATCAGATACATGAATGATCCACGCCTTTAAAGTGTGGATCTAAACTAACTGTGAAAACCACTTGGTTTTAAGTAACACACTTGCATTTCTTTGGACCCTCACTTTTGAAATACCAGTAGGTCAGAAGTTTGCCTACTTACTGCTTGAAGTAGTTTTCTGGCCTCTTGCAGTAGTGTGAAAATAAGGGGAACAAATTCCGACTCATGTCAAACTGGAGCTGTGCTGCTCCTCCTTCATTGAAATGATTTGCCATAATGATCTACAAACACACAAGAAGTACATCTGCTGTTTAAGCCAGTCACTGAAGCCTACATTGCATTGCACAGGTTACACTGATACCCACTTCCTGATAGATGTACAAATCCACTTTCTCTGCAAGCATTTGCCAGAAAATTTTAAACAGCGAGTGGCAGAGCTGCTGCTCCAGTTGTAGCAAACGGTCTCGCAGTGTCTGCAACATCGGGCACGCCGTGCTCGACAAAGACATCACTGCTTGCTCTGCTTGAGAGGGTAAAGACAGCCACCTAAAAGAAACCATTGCACTGCAGTTGTTAGAATTAAATTCATATTACAACTGAAGTTAAAATTACCCTTAAAAAAAAAATCTTACCCATTTGCAATGTTTCAGAGACAATTCTTTCCCATTTCTAATCTAAAAGTTATCAGTCTAATGCTATGTTTGAATTTCATTTAATATTATACTCATGCTTTAGTTATAAAATCTCTGAACATGTCATTCTAGGGAACCCCATCTAACTTGAAAATCATTGAGTTGTATTTCTTTTACGAAGTACTTCAGAAATTCTACTCAGGAGAAAATATTCAAGAATCCCTAGGAGTCTGTGAAGACAGAACAGTCATGACAGCCCATTTTGCATAAAATCTTCAATACTACTATGAAGAAAATAATTCCTGTTCAAAATAGAAAACTAAAATGATCCAGAATCTTTCCTAGGGTTTTTAACTAATGAATGCACTAATTGTGGAACTACTTTAGAAAACACAGCATGACAATGGTCCCAAGGTAAGAATGAAGAGAATTTTCCAGAACTCATTACCCTGCAGCTTTCCCACTCCAGAAAAAAAATACTATTATCTATTCTTGCCTTTATTTACCTCAGCATTTTAAACAGGAAATAATACCATAATATGTGAAGAGATTAAATAAACAGAATCACCTCTCTTTTTTGTACAGCTTCGCAGCATCTTTGACCTCTCTGAAGACATGATCTACTTGTCGCGTCAGCATGTCGTGCTTCAGGCGCTCCAGGAGGTTGATCATGTCATCAAAGACAGAGCTCTCCATGGACGCCAGCTGTCCCAGCTGGAGCTGGCTCACCGTGTCACTTTCTGCACAAACCTCTAGCTCGGCCTGCTGCAGCTGCAAGAAGAACTAGGCAAACAAAACCAGAGAGGAACACCACAGAAAATAATCTTACCCCTTGAACTTTTCATTGGAACTTTGTTAGGCATAGTTCTAGAAAACACTCTCCTCTGGCACATTTATAAAATAAAATTTTAAGATTTTAAGAACACTTTCTTATCTTTCCCTGTGGTCTTGATTTAGTGAAAAATAAAACATGCTGGTTTAATCCTAGTGATGGACCTGATACAGGTTGCAGATACAACAGCAGATAAGTAAAGGGAACAGATCTAGAGAAATACAGAAAATATATTTTAAGATTGACAGCAGCATGCTTTTAAAAAAAATTCCTACATTGGCCTCTTTAAGATTTGCAAAAGTAAACTTTAATAGTAATTTTTTTAGCAATGATTATTCATTGAATCATAAATTTACTGTGCTGACAACAGCAAGAAAATTGAATTTATCAAGATCAATGTGACATTGTGGTAATAGCTTGTTGGTTTTGCTTTTAAGCAGATCACGACACTGTAGTATATGCAGTTATTCAACATGAAGGCTGCTGTCCTGTCAAGGTTATCCCCTGCTAGAGCCACAGCTTCCTGTGAAGACAGTAAGAATTTGGAGGTTCCCACAGCACACACAATGCCTTGTTCTGCACACTCCATGTGAAACAGGTTTTTTGACCTTTAGCATCAATAGTCTTAGAAAAGCTGAAATTCTGCACTAGGCCATGCTGCCAGCAGGCTGTTGTACAGCAGTCACTAATTCCCAGTTATCACTGAGTGACCTTTCTGGGCCACACCTGAACCATGTTGCAACACAGATTACCCACATGGGATTTGTCTAAGGTCTCCTGACATGGGAGGAATTCAAACACTAGGCAAAGGCTGCTGCTCTCGTTCAGAGATCTCCAAAATCAATTCTTTTTTTTTTACAATAAAAAGCATTTTACAAAAACTAATGTTTTGTCTCTTCAGATTGTTCCATTTCCCAGGCTCTCTCTGCATTTCCCTAGAAACTTTATAATTGGCATCTTAGGCCTCAAACAATAACCCATCCTTATTTATACATCTTTTACTAAATCCAAATTTATATCTCATTCTACTTTTTCAGTAATTAATTCTCTTAATACACCTAAAAAGTGATGAAAATAAAATGTCTGTTACAAAACAAACATCCAAAGTCCATTTTTAAATATTTGGTTTCCTAAAGAAGATTAATTACTTACTACATTGTCAGCCCAGTCTGCCAACACTGTTGCTATATAGTTAACAGCATTAAGGATTGCACAGTAGCGGAATCCTAAGGAAGCTCTTGTCTCTTCCTTCATTACTTGAGTTAATCGTATCCTGAAATCATCAACTAACTCCTTCTGTAGGCCCAGGAACTGGAGTTTTCTAGAAGCTGTTGGAAGATTCTTATACCTGTCTGGAAAGACATTAATAAAATGTTTTTAGCCTTTCCAACAGTAAATAAAAGCTTTTCAAAAAGAAACATTACAGGCACATTACTGACCACCTCACACCTATGAGAACATAATATAGTCATTATTTAAATGTCAGTATTTAAAACAGTTGATATTTCAATGTTTTCAGGGAAACTGTTTGCCCATGCAAAAGCTAAAAAGGCAATGACTTTCTTCCCCCTCCTCATTCCACAAGCAGTTTATATTCTAACACTTGAAGCAATGTGTGGTAACACCACACCCTCCTCTTCAGGCAGCCCCTAAAGCTTCCTCACACAGAGAAAAGACAAAGCCATTGCAGATGCAACTGTCTCCTGAAGACACACTTGCTCTTATGTACTGTTGCAAAAAACGAGAAGTTACTTAATAACTTCTGAAGTCTCACAGATTCGAAAGGACTATTATCATTTATTACTGCATTGCAACAAATTATATTCTGCCAACCATGAGAGAATATGGTAAATATCAAATGTATATTTTTAAGTATTATTTTGCAAACATGTTACTAGGTCAAGATTGTTCATGCGTGAGTTAGTGTCTAAAATACAAAATGAACAGGAAACTTTTATTAAGCTGCAGACATGACAACTTTGCAACATTACTTGATGATTACTACTGACAATGAATATTTAGTAAAGAGGTCTGTTAGCTGAAAGTTCTTTACTGCTCATTACAAACAAGAGCAATGCCCATAGATATAATTACCTGTTATAACTAACAAGAGAGTCATAAAAGTTTCAGCACAGTCTGGAACTTTCATTTCATCCACATCAGTGATATCTTTGTATTGTGATATCCATGCAGCCTCTGATGAAAGCATAGAGTCCATCTTCTGAAGAGC